TGAGATATGATTTCTGTAATAAATAAGCGTCCAGACTCTGATACTAGGCAAATACAGGCAGATACTTTTGGCAACAAGTGTCATGGAACCATGAAACGTATTTAGTAAAAGTATGCCTCTCACTTATAAGATGGGCAAGACAATAAGCTCAGAATATTACTGTCCTGAACGGGATATTTGAAAGCCAATCCTGCCAACATAACGGAGAATGGAACAACCCAGAGAGAAATTTTCGTTACACTGAGAGGGGAACATGAACTACTTTAATTAACCCAGTGAAGGGTCGAAGTTACCTCAGCTCTCACGTGGAGGGATTGAATGTATTTCTAGATCGCAATATCACGACTTGAGCATTGACTTCTCATGTCATTAACTTGCGACCTAACAAAACTAATTTGATAGCGCTATGAGCATGCCATTCTTGCGAAACGAATAAATTTGATAAATGTGAATGAAGGTCAATGTTAGTTCAGCGACTCGGATACCATCTTTAAGTTTTCTTCTTCCTGTAAGATAGTTACAACTGAAGGAACGTTCCTGGTGTCGTGTTAGTTATTGTGCACGTTGAAGGGGTGCAAACTTACTTTCAAAGCGGATATGATAATACTTTACAAGGGCACCAATTCATTGAACAAACATGTCGGTGAATCCAAACATTGAGATGCAGGCAATGGGAAATCAAGGAACACGAGCAGCTGTGAGGATTAGCTCCTATCCGAGGACTATGTTTATCAGAAGTATTGCGGCTAGTATTTTTAGCATGGTCGCTACAATTCACAGTTGAAGTAAGTCAAAAGGATCCGCGAGCACCAGAAGCCATACACAGGAAAACAGATATGGTTTCTCATCATATGGGACACAATCTCAAACGTGAAAAGAACTTGAAAGGATCCTGATGCTTTCGTAGTGTACGAGATAGGTACAACACTGTGTGTTTTAGGTAGTACAGATGCCTACCCGCCAGGATAATTAGAAATGGGCCTATCATGCAGAAAGTTTGGAGTGGCGTTGCTTTCCACTTCCTAGCAAAGGCGTTTACTGTGAAAGCGCCTATCCACAAGAATAAGGGGATACAAAGAGGCTTCTGTCACAAAGGAATACCCCCAAAGTTCGCTGCGTGCAAAATTCTGAATCACACGCACCTCGGTTGTAGCGTAAATGAAAGATTGAGTTTGAGGTAACTTCTTCAAGTCACACGCTTACAGCAGGGCATCAAGTTGTGGATGTCTGTTTAGTTCCTCGAATCGGCGTGTCAATGGCTTCTACTGATTCAATTATTTCGTGTGCTGTACATGAGTTCAGAAACAAAAATGTTGTTTGGAAATAAAGAAGATAATCTCACGTTATTTTCACATCGATTAAACGGCATGTCTAGGTGGGCTGGCCACGATGAAGTTCCTTTCCGCAGCTACATCTATGATTGTGGTCAACAAAACAGTATACAATGGGCATAGAGAACTACATACGAATAGGAACTTTCATTCCAAATCTCGAGAAAGACGTAATCCCGGACTAATTCACGTCTGCAGCACTCCAAGGTGCCCAATTGTTAGGAAATCGTGTAACGTGATGAATCGCTTTCCCCTGCGGCCTCCGGTAGAAATAAAGTTGAAAAGACACGCTGAAATGGAGGATAACAAGAGTTTTCAACTCTAACAAAGGCATAAACAGACCGACGGCTGTATCATACCAACAAGAGTCTATCTATGAGACAGAAAATCAGAACGGTGACTGTAGATGCCCCGAGGGCTCCACAAGAGAATGAATACCTATCCTCACAGCAGTACTGAGACTCCGTAAGACCGATCGGAAACCAGTTGGTATTGGGAAGGAGCTACCGCTGGAATCAGAAGTTAGCCAGAAGGTTTCTGCAGACATTATCGATGGGTCCGAGGGAAGAGCAATGCTTGCATCAAGGCAGATTATACCACCGATAACTGGTAACCATTTGAGTTTCTGCATGCATGCGACCAGAGAATATTCTAACGGTGGTTCATCTTCATGACATTGTGGGTTGCAGCACCGGACAACGTGCATGAATCTATTGGTCTCGAGTATATCCAGAGACTTGTTTTTGCCGACTATGACATCGAAGCAATGACGGCTTGACCGGGCACCGAAGAAAATAATAGATAATGCTGCAAGGGAAAACGCGCCTGTAATATGCCTAGTACCAAAGCAAAGAGGTCCGAGTGGCTGTAATGATTAATGAGAGAAAAACAGTCCCATGGGAGAGAAAATCGTGCCATGAAAATCCAGGTCGCGGATATCGGGTATGATGGGCTTCTGAAGGTAACAAGTATGTTGTCTGAGAAAAAGTTGCCAAATAATGTCCACATGAAGTACCCTCGTGCCTTCTCGTCTGCGAGAAACTGAAGACCTGGGACGTCAAGGACCGCGACAGAGAGTCCGCAAGTCCCATGGACATGAACATTTCGATAGACTGAGCAGTGGAAATCTGAAGAATTGTCTTGGAGATTCTCGGAGGCGCAACAAGGACCAATAATAACGAGCTTGCAGAGAATCTTGGAAGGATGTGCCGAAACGGCATCGGCAGGAGGGAGGTGATTTAGAAGTCACCATTACACAAGAGAGAGAAACATACAACATGGAGGTGACCGAGACAAGATCCCCGAGCTAACTGATTTTGTGGAATTCCGTTCAGGACTTGGATTTGGAATGGGAAAGCCCATTAGGGATAGAGAAGTTCCCTTCGAGAAGGAAATATATTGAAAATTGAGCTATACGGCAGCACCTTGTTCTTGAAAAGCGATAGATGACGACGCTCGTCCCTCAAGAACCTAGAACGCTGGCTTTGACATAGTTCTCGGAAAGATATCAACAAAAGTATCTTCATTGCTTAAACGGACGAGATGCACGTCGATAGTCTAGTCTATCGGTGGATTTGAAACTTCAAGGTTAATTGTGAAGCGAAGCATTGTTGTAAACTTGTCACTCACATACAAACAAGTCACCTCATTTACTGTATTGGCTAGCCAGTCGCTCTACCTCCGCACAGTTATGCTCGCCTCGTACACATAACACTGTAGCTCCCTTACTGTCTACATCAGGAATAAGACATTTGATATCTTGGGGGTCTGGACAAGGACATTGCGATGGTGTAGCGACGCAAACGAGGGAATCGGGACAGAGGTACTGAGAGCAGGGTACTGGAAATCGCCAGAGTGAGTTCTTTTCGCCCGCAAGCTATGATATTAGTTTCAGCCCCATACCTGCATCTGCTTGTGCAGCCCATTGTCCCGGGCCTGATGGTTGCCTTTGCTGGTTCCCGAACATATGTTCAAAGAATTGGAATTGTGCGAATACAAAGGACAGGGAGTTGAAGAACAACCATAACGAGAGCAATTTCGCGAACATTTTGGACAGTGATGGTAAGAAAGGCAAACATAAAACACAATTCGATCGCGACGAATTATATTACCGTGGGAGTGTGGTGATGCCACGTGTTACGAAACGGTTGGTTGCATAATCATAATAGTAATTCTGGCATACTGCTTCAATCATACATGAGTCTTACATATAGAGATACAATAGAAAGGCATAGAAATCGCAAACATATCACACCAGGTTTCACCTGAATCAACATAGGTTGTTAGAAATGAACCTACAACTGAGCGCATACTTGCATTGGATTCCAAGTTTCTATTCAACAACTACCAGGAGACATCATGCACGATTCTCCTCAATCACCTTCACCACACTCCATCGACCACTTTCACCATATCCTAAGGTTTTCAATCATCAAATGAAACATAACCATTCCTCTAACCTCCCTGACAATACGACGAGCGTTGTGTAGATCCCACGCAACGCAACGTACATTGCTCAAGCTCAAACTCGATCGGAACGCCGTTTTCCTGAAGATTTACTCTTTCCTAAGTCTCGGTCACAGGAACTCTTGGACACAGAGCTCTCTTTCGCGTGATCAGGAGAAGGCGGACGGTTCTCCTTGTCAATCTCCTGCCTTTGCTTCGAATCTTCTGAAACTGAAACAGGTGCTGGAACGAGTGGACACTCTGCCACCGACGTATCGGGTGTATCGACATACACATCGAATCCTGGGTGGTGATTAACATCTGGCAGAGGACGAGGCTTCTTTACAGCCTTTCGAGGACTAAAACAATCATCCACGTCGCTAGGAGTAGATGAATTGATTGGCGAACCATGAATTGAAGTAGTCAGAGCAAATGGCTTCTTGAGCTCCGGAGAGGGTGCGAGATTTGACTTTGTAGAAGTGAGAGTACTTAGCGACCTGACATCAATCTTCCCCACTTGAAACTTAGGTTTCGGTGTGCCAAAATCCAGCCTACGTGCTGGACTTTCGGGACCTCGAAGGATGTCTCGGATAAGCGGCGTGGATGATCTGCCACTCTTAGCGGATGAGCTTGCGCTTTGAGCTCTTGGTGGAGTGAAGAAGATATTTGTATCCATTACTCGTCGTTTCGCTGGGCTTAGGAATGAATATGAAGATGGAGAGAGTGGCCTCTTAGAAGTGTGAGAAGAAGTGGGAGAATGATTGAGGTCATTATTTGGATCGTCGTTGTTCGTGAGTAGAAACTGTTCCAATGGAAGTTCTTGAAGTGGTACACGAGTCATGTTGTAAATTACGAGTGAGGGGTAAAGTATGAGTGGCGAATGCGAGAAGTGTTCAGGACAGAGAACTTGGTGGCCATCCTAGGGCCTATTTGTACGATCGGCGTTCAAACCCAACAAGCACGTGCAAGTCGCGTGTCTCACATGACTGTTTAATCCCAATTCAGTTCTTTTTTGCCTCGTGTCTACTGAACTCCTCCTGGTCAACACATCGACCTATGGCAGTATACGACTTTTCGTTGTGTATATTCTAGTTTGACATTAATAGGTTGATCATAATATTACAAAAAAGAAAATCAGAATCCATGATACACACACACACCCAAGTTCCAATCACAACCGAATTACAGATTCCAAAACGCCGTGATAAAAAAAAATACACCTGTAGCCCACCGCGAGGGTCGAACTCGCAGCCTTCAGATAAACCCACCTAAGAGTCTGACGCTCTATCCGATTGAGCTAGGCGGGCTTATCCTTCTTGGCAATCTAACAATACATATCCGGGAATTGAGCACATTCAAACTCAGCCGATTTAAGCAATCTGCCTCAATTCCGCGAATATGGTCTGGTTACAATGTTACATAGTCATGAAAGATTCTATGCATTCACACTGAAGACACCACTTACTTGAATGAGGATAGTGACCTGAAATGCCTCCGACCTGCACTAGATGCAGCGGACAATAATTCCGGACTTAGTATCCTTCTCTTTGTTTGTGATCACTCTCAAAAGATAATCGAAGATCCTGAGAAATATACTAACAAAAAGAGCATTGCACATAAAGAAGCTATACAGTTACAAGCGAATACAGAACATGACTAGATAAGCTCGGCAGCATTAACCGGCATTTCATCCTAATGGGACACAGAGAGAACACCAAGATCAGTAAAAGTGGAGTTGTAAAAAAGAAGTGGCTTACGATCTGGGTACTGTAGAATTGTTCTGATTTAGGGGACAAATTTGTTGGTAAGAGATACAAGACAAAGAGGGGAGGAAATACGTACCGATATCTCTAAGGATACGAACGTCATCAACGGTGACGAACTGTGGGTAAGGTAAACAATTAACACAACGAAAACGAGGAAGAGTTTCTCAAATGCTCACATTAATCGCGACACCCTTGCGTCCAAACCGACCTGAACGACCGATACGATGGATATAGTTCTCACGATTTCTAGGGGGCAAATGAGATGCAATTGGAGCAGGACTTGAAACTAGAAAACTTACGCAGGGAGGTCATAGTTGATGACAAGGGACACTTGTTGAACATCAATTCCACGAGCCCAAACATCTGTCGTAATTAGAACCCGACTTTACACCCAGTTAATAACTATGCAAGTGTACATGTCAAAGGCGATGACTTACGAAGTGCCACTACGGAACTCAGCCATAATTGCATCTCGTTCTTTTTGGACCATCTCTCCATGCATCGAGGATACAGTGAAATTTGCCGCCCTCATCTTTTCGGTCAGCCAATCAACCTGTATGAGATAAGCTTAGTATATAACAAACCGATAAGTAGCGCTCGAAAAAGCTCACCTTTCGTCTTGTGTTGCAGAAGATGACGGCTTGGGTAATGGTAAGGGTATCGTACAAGTCGCAGAGTGTATCGAATTTCCAATCCTCCTTCTCCACAGCGACGAAGAACTGTTTGATTCCCTCCAATGTCAACTCATCACGCTTGACGAGGATACGGATGGGGTCAGTCATGAATTTTGTCGTCATTTCCAGAACATCGTGGGGTAGAGTCGCGCTGAGAAGAACGACTTGTGTAGCAGGGGGAAGATAGCGGTAAACGTCGTAGATCTGGTCTTTGAAACCCTTGTTCAAGAGCTCATCCGCCTCGTCCAGCACAAGCATCTTGATGTTTCGTGTTCTGAGGGTTCGTCGGCGAATCATGTCAAAAACACGACCCGGGGTACCAGATACAACATGCTGTCCATATTCTAGTTTTCGGATATCCTCTCCAATAGACGTACCACCGATACACGCGTGGCACTGCACATTCATATAGTCTCCCAAGGCAAGCACGACTGATTGGATTTGCGTAGCTAACTCGCGAGTGGGTGAAAGCACAAGAGCTTGAGTCTCTCTGACAGAGACATCAATGGATTGGAGGATAGAGATAGAGAAGGTGGCAGTTTTTCCTGTTCCAGATTGGGCTTGCGCAATAACGTCCCGACCCTGGGTTATAGGCAGGATTGCTCGCTGTTGGATAGCAGAGGGTTTTTCAAAGTCTAAAGCAAAGCCGTAAGGAGGATCTGTCAGCATTTTGAAAACTTTAGACACGCACTGTAAGCATAGATTCCCCGCAACAAATCCTCCTTGAGCCCAAGATCATCGAATGTTGAAACGACAGAAACGGCTTCTGAGGATTCGAAAATGAGTTTCTAGTGTATGACAGTGGAATTAGTTGCGCTAGAATATATATAAAAACAGCAGAACAAAGCGTACATCGTCACCAGCATTGATGCCAGACATATTGAGAAAGTGGTAGGAGGAGAAGTTCAAGAGGATCGGAGTGTGAATTCTTTCCCACTTACACTCACTTTAGACGCGAAAGCAATCAACTTTCCTTCAACACACTCTCTGCTGTATTCTAGCTTGTTCTCGCATCTTCCTCACCGTCTTCGACAATGGACTCGATAATCGAAGTACAGCGACAAACTCACGAGGAAATCGAACATTTTGAACGCGCATTGTATACTATTCTTTCCCGCCCTCAGACTACCCATGAGTCGCGACTACAAACAGAGCACAAGGCAGCCCAAATATTAGACCGAATCCAATCTCGCGCGGTCGCCCTCAACAACCAGTATCAAGACGAAGATACCCGCAAAGCTGAGATTGATATACTTGCGGCTCAACCCCACGACTTGACAGAGTTTTATAATCGCCTTGGAAAAATTCAAGAACATTATGCGAAGTATCCTGAATCAGCCGCTTCAGGTTTCGATTTAGAAATAGCTGCCTTCTTGGACGAGGGTGTCGAGGGAGAGGAAGAAGAGGAGTATGAAGAAGATGATCGTACGTCTCTACATTGAACACATATACCCTAGACTTGTCTTTGAACCGTGGTGTTTTTTCCTTAGCAATCGCTCTGCTGTTTTCTGGTGAAGAGCAATATGGCAAATACCTTGATTTGTATGCGAATCATACCGCATACAATAACTTGAAGAACATTGGAAAGCGTCTTGGCTATCTTCAGTATCTAGATGTTCTTCTTGCTTCTCAATCTGCCACTGTTCACTCAGAATTGCCCAAGGAATGTCGACTAACCAGAGATTATGAATTGTGAGTGGGGATTACTTCTCTTCACCTCAGTAGCTTAGTGCTCACGGGTGCTATAGATATATTAAAGCTTTACACACATATCTGCTTTCATTCATGAAACGAGCGCAACCACTCGTTGACGTGGAGAGTCAACAGAAAGCAGCCGAGAATGAATTCGAGAAACAATGGGAAAATGACGACATGGACGACTGGGTAGAGGCAAAGCAGGCGAAAGCCACTGAAAACGGAGGAGAGGGAATTTGGTGTGCTGCATGTAAGTGCTGTTCTAATAGCATCTTCACGAATTTACGAACAATGTTTTCCACATAGGTCAGAAATTGTACTCGAAGCAGACTGTCTATGATGCACATCTCACATCCAAAAAGCACATCAAAGCCACCGCCAAGCAAGCTAACTCTGAACAACCTCCTGCAAATCCCAACGGTCCTGCATCCTCACATCACGAGAACGGTCATTCACATCCCCAAGTATCACCGAAGGCCAAACACAGGACTGCTGCTCTGCTTACTCATTTGTCCACACAGTTACTGGCCCACCTTGCGCCGGTACTGAACGACACGAAGTCCAACGTCGAGCGTCGATTCTCGCTAACGGCACGAGAGCGTGAGCAAGAATTACTGGAGCAGTCAAAACCGAAAGCACCAGCCCCTGCAGCGAAAGCAGAGGGTGCTGAAGAGGAGGAAGAGGAAGAGCGTATCTACAATCCCCTCAAACTTCCGCTGGGCTGGGACGGCAAACCTATACCATACTGGTTGTACAAACTCCATGGACTCGGAGTTGAATATCGGTGTGAGATCTGCTCAGATCATGTGTACATGGGAAGGTAAGTCAGTCAGGATGACAAACGACCTTCTAGTGCAGGTATTGATAAATGCCCATATTTGTGTTCCAGGAAGAACTTCGATCGCCATTTCCAGGTGAGTTGATGGCGCTTTCAAGTTGCGAAGGCTAATTGACATATTTGAATTGGAAAATAGGAATCACGGCACGCATTTGGCATGCGAGCTTTGGGCCTTCCTAACACTAAACACTTCCACGAGATCACAAGGATTGAGGATGCTCTCGCTCGTAAGTGGAGACTACCTGTTATGAATCTAATCACAACTAATTCATCTGTCCCCAGTTGCTGAAAAGCTCAAGCGAGAAGGCCGTAATGAGATCTTCGAACAAGAGACGATGGAAGAGCTTGAGGACGAGGAGGGCAACGTCTACAACCGTAAGACGTATGAGGACTTGAAGAAGCAGGGTCTAATCTAGTTTCTGATTATTGTGTATTGTACAACATGCCATTCCGATGGGTATTAAGTCTACAGATATGCTTTGATCCAAGTCACCGATACGCATCACACCTTGAATATTCATTCTCATGTGGGCTTGCTAATCCTTGGTGGGGGAGGCGGCGGAGCTCGGCGAGTACTAGTATTTGATGTTTGTACTGGAGAAAGCGGCTTCTGGAGCTCGTGATACAATTCTTCTTCCGACGATGAAGGGGACGATGAAATGGACGATGTATCAGAATCGAACGGATTGTATGGGTGATTGCGAGGGGACCGGGGTGGGATAGTCTGCACAGGGAAAATCCCATTAGGATGACCTGATGGAAATTGTGATCAGTCATGGAGCGAAAGGGATCGAGATGAGCTACGCACTGGGATTATCCCACCAAGAACTATCGTCGGAGCTGGGTGGAGGTACTAGAGAGTACAATTGTCAGCGCTTTACGCAGGCGATAATCGCTCCACATACAATCTGCGACACCATTGGAGAAAGTTATTGAGGCTAATTTTTCATCGAGCTTTTCTCCCGGTAGCGACGATGTTACATTTTCAAAAAGCACCTTTGATAACGCCGCCTTTTTGACATAGTCGACTATTCGAACATCTGCACGGAATATGGCGAAGACTGCGGCATTCAGGATTTAGCATGTGAGAGAACTCGGTAGAAGAGAGATTCGAGAACGCACCTGGTCGATGATCCGAGCCTTTCAATTCTGCTCTGGAGTACACTGCTAGATCCAGAACATCTCCCTTGTATAAAACACGGTCTTTGGCAACGTTAATTCAGATTTCCAGGAGGGCTGTGAAAATAGGAAGATGCTTACCAGTCCAAGCTGGTATACGAAGTTTCTCGCTAGTATCATAATTCTCAGTCCCAAGGTCGTATTTGTAAGTAGGC